TAAATTTATTCATCTTAAGCATATATAACAAATCTAAATTAATTTACTTCCTCCGTCCCAACGGTGACATTTGCTTTTTGCACCTAAATTTTTGAATATTAATATTATATTGGATTGTAGTAAAAAAGACAAAAATGCCCATATTAGTATGATGTAATATAAAAGTAATGACAATTATGTAATATATTCTAAGTTGAAAGGGTATTTATTATGTTAGGTAAGTAGTATAGTTACTAAATTAGGAAATGATAACCTTGTTTTGAGACGGACGAAAATAGAAAATTGTAACATTTCAATGAGACGGAGGGAGTAATTAAATTTCTAGCATCTTATATTTATATGGAAATATTCACTCAAAATCTTTTTATTTCAATATCTCTCATCAATAAACAAATATTATTTTATCTCTATTTTAAACTCTTCTGTGTTTACTTGTGAGGTTTTTATTTTAACTTTTGATTTTGAATAGTAAAATTTTGAATTGAAATAGTTATTTGATGTGATATAAATATGTATTGACGTGATGTTTTGAATGTAGAATTATATTTTAGTTTAATAAAATAAATAAAAATTGAGTATTTAATTTGATATTTTTGGAGGAAAAGAAAGTTAGAATAGTAAAATCAGATATAAAATCTTACAAGTAAAAACACCGATCATTTTTTTATAAAATTAGTTTTAAATTTATTATTAATAAATAAATAAATATATTTTTATTTAGATTATATAAAATTTAATTATTTATAAAATAATATATCAATATTGTATATATATTTTATTGAGAGATAATACTAAAAATATTTAAAATACCAACAATTTTACTTATATAAAAAATAATAAAATAATATCATAATTTATTACTAATCTATCTCAATATTTTTTTACTATGTATAAATATTTATTATTTTTTCCTCAAATCTTATCGTCTGTCGCCGTCATCACACCATTTATGTCAATTTTTAAATTGTGTATTTTGTGTCTATATACATAGACAAATAAATAATACCCACGCCGTAACGGCTATCATGTCTATTTTACTGTAAATACAGAAATTTAGGAGCAGTATAATTAGGAAATAATTAAAAATATATTAGTGTAATTAATTATTATGTAATAAAAATAATTATAAATTAAAATTAAGATAACTAATTAGTCTAATTAAAATTTTAAAATAAAATTAAAATGTATAATTTTTTTTCAAAAAAAAAATGACAATATAAGTTGGACGAACGAAAATAAAAATATGAACATAATAAGTGGATGGAGTCAGAGCAATTGATTTATATATATATATATATTTCTTCCAATTGAATTTTTTTATTTTACCAAATAGAATAATAAAATTTTAATTTTTTTTGACTAATTCAATATTTCTAAAATTCTATTCCCTATTATCATCTCTATTATAATTTCATTATATGTACCCACCGTACTTTATAAGTAGTAAATGACTTTATGTCAAATATTATTACATTCGTTCGGTTCTAAGGGTCCAATTTACTTTTTGCATGTTGATATTTGAATATTAATTATTATATCAAAACATAGTATAAATTAAGAAAAAATTACAAAAGTATTTACATTAGTATCTTATAATATTGATAGAAGAACATTTGTATAAAAATATATAAATATAATGGTATTTTTAATGTTAAATATAATGATTCAAAAGATAAATGTAACTCTTAGAAGGGCCGGAGGAAGTACTATTTATTTTTAACATATAATAATTAATTTATTATTATTTTTTCTATTTACCTATTATATTTCTATTAATTTTTTTTAATGAATTTCTCATAATATTCACATTAATTTTTTTATCTTATTTTAATATTAAAATATTATTTATTTCATCTCAACCTAAATATTATTTTTAACTTTTTTTTTTTGTCTTATCTACTAAAAAATATCAATATTCTATTGTAGTAAAAATTATCACATTTAATATCAAAATACCTATATTTTTTTTAATGCAAATTACAGATGTATTATTATATATATACATAAAAGGGTAAACTATTTTTTTAGTCCCGTAATTGGACCTCTTATTATTTTAGTCCCGTAAGTGGAGCATGTTGAAAACTAGTCCCATAAGTGAAAAATTTTCGCTGTTCTAGTCCTCCGGCGCCGGAGATGCCCGCGTGGCTCGCCGGAGGTGACTTGTCCGCCAGGTCAGCGACACCTGGCGGACACGTGGATTTATTTTTTAAATTTTTTTTTTAATTGGACCAAATAAAAAAAATAAAAAAATACAAATAAAATTAAAAATAAATTAAAAATAAGTTTTAAAAAAATTTAGAAAAATGAAAAAAAAATAAAAAATCCATGTGTCCGCTAGGTGTCGTTGACCTGGCGGACACGCCATCTCCGACGAGCCACGCAGATGTCTCCGGCGCTGGAGGACTAAAACAACGAAAATTCTTCACTTATGGGACTAGTTTGCGACATGCTCCACTTACGGGACTAAAATATAAGGGGGTCCAGTTACGAGACTAAAAAACAGTTTATCCTACATAAAATAGAAAGTGTTTTGGGTAACCAATAATGTCATATATCTTTTACACACTTTTACTAACCAATAAAATACTATTATTGTTTCTTATTCTATTATAAAATTTCAAATGGATACTTTAGTCCGAAATGGAAAAAAGATTATTTTTTTAATTTCGATGTCCAAGTAAACTTACTTAAATTTCGGATGTAGGAAATATAATATTTACTCGGTCCCTTAACAATCTATTCATTTTTTCATTTTCGTCCGTTTCATAACAAAGTATCAATTTCAATTTCTTAGTAATTGTATTATCTACCTAACATTACAAATACACATTCAATTTACATTATATTATACAAATGTCATTACTTTTATATTATACAATATTAATAAATGTAATTTAGTCTTTTTACATTTATTTCCACTGCATCTCGATATAATACTAATATTCCTAACTCTTAAAAAAAAGTTTAATAGTTCAATACAAAATATTACTCCATTCGTCCCATATTTATATATATCAATTTACTTTTTGTACAGAATTTTAGAAATATTAGTATTATATTGGAATATAGTAGAAGTAAAGATAAAAAAAACTAAATTGCCCTTATTAGTATTGTATAATATAAAAATAATGATATTTATGTAATATATTATAAATTGAAAAAATATTTATAATGTTAAAAAATTGATACTTTGTTATGAGACCAACGAAAAAAAAAAAAATTTATTATATTACTATTTCTCTCTGCAAACCACGTATAAACCCAAGTAGCATAGAAGGGTTTTGGATTCATAATCTTATGATTATATGAATTCATAATTAGTTTTTTTTTTTTTTTTTTTTTTTTTCATCCGTCAAAATTATATTAACATCTTTTTGGCCATCCGTTAAATTTATGATGCGTTTTTTTTTTTTGCCAAATCTTTTTAATTTTTACTATTTAAATTTTATATTTTTCTCTAAAATATATATCTTTTTTTTTTTGACAAAATATTTTATCAAATATTATTTTAATACTAAACTCAAACCATTTTTTTTTCAAATTCATATAAGAACACCCTTGTGCATATTCTATTTTTAATAAAATATTTACTCACCCACGATTTTTTCCTTTTTTTTTAATAAATAGTAACAATTTTACTATTATGTATTTTTCTACTTACCGAGTGTATATTATTATTATTATTTTATCAAACTTATTAATAAAGTTCCTATAATGCCATTATTTTATTTTTCACTCACTCTGTTTAATATTGTAATATTATTATTTTTAATATTCGTCCAATCAAAATTAAATAAATTTTTTGGATGAAAAAATAATTTTATTGGTTTTTCTCAAAAAGAGCAATAATGGATAGAAGTCGGGGCGTCGTGGAAATTTCTACTTTAAAAGAAAATAAAACAAAAATCTTAACCCAAATTACAGTAAATATCGCAATATATATTTGGTTAAATTATATGACATTTTTTTTGGTATTTTAGTAAAAATGTACAAAATATCTTGTGTTTTATTTATTACGTGAAACTTTTTTGTATTAATGCAAAATTTGCACGAACCATCACATTGTTCAAAACTGATGTTTAGTTCTAAATAAAGACTTAAGTTACGCTAAGTTTTATACAAATAAAAAATATACTCCCTCCGTCCCATTGAAAGGTTGCAATTTTCAATTTTCGTCCGTCCCAAAACAAGGTTACCATTTCCTAATTTAATAATTGTAGTACCTACCTAACATAATAAATACCCTTCCAACTTACACTATATTACAGAAATGTCATTACTTTTATATTATACAATACTAATAGGGGTATTTTTGTCATTTTCACTACAACTCATTATAATACTAGTATTTAAAAATCTACGTGAAAAAAGTAAACGACAATCTTGCACCGGGACTGGACGGTGAGAGTAAAATATTTTAGTAATTTTTTTGAATAAAATAAAAAAAAATTGATTAATCATTCATTTTATAGTTTTTTGGATACAAATTGTTATCTGATTTTTACAAAAACAACTATAGAAATAAATGATTGATAAACTATTTATTTATTTATTTTATTAAAAAAATTATTTAAGATATTTTACGTTTTTTATCTGTACAAAATTTGCGTAATTTAAATATTTATTTATAACCAAACATCATTTTGAACAAAGACGATATTTCGTGCAAATTTTATATCAACATAAGAGGTTTCACGCAATAAATAAAATACAACATATTTTGTAGATTTTTACTAAAAAAAACACAAGATAATGCCATACTCCCTTCGTCTGCCTCTAAAAGTCACATTTAACTTTTGCGTTATTGTATTTAACATTAAAAAATATTCTTATATTTGTATAATTTTTGTACAAATATCATTCTATTAGTATTATAAAATACTAATTAGGTATTTTTGTAATTTTTTTTTTTATTTGTACTAAAAAGTAAAAGTAAATGTGACCATTTAAAGGAGGGGAGGGAGATAGTATAATTTAGTCTATATAAGTATGTGTGTTAGTACATACAATCACTCATTCAATTCCATCAATCTTATCCACCCACCTAATTACCTTAACCTAGCAATGGCCGCCGCCGCCGTCGCCGACAAGCGGCCGGTCCGGTTCGGGATCCTGGGCTGCGCCAATATAGCGCGTAAGGTGTCGCGGGCGATTATCCTCTCTCCCAACTCCACCGTCGTCGCCGTCGGCAGCCGATCCCTCGCCAAAGCCGAGGCTTTCGCCAAGGAGAACGGCTTCCCCGGCTCGGCTAGGGCTTACGGCTCCTACGACGCCGTTATTGACGACCCAGACGTTGACGCCGTTTACATTCCGTTGCCGACGAGCCTCCACCGGCGGTGGGCGGCCCTGGCGGCGGAGAAGAAGAAGCACGTGCTGCTGGAGAAGCCGGTGGCGCTGAACGTGGCGGAGCTGGACGAGATACTGGCGGCGTGCCGAGTGAACGGAGTGCAGTACATGGACGCCACCATGTGGATGCACCACCCCCGCACGGCGGCGATCACGGCGGCTCTCTCCGATCACCGCCGCTTTGGCAAACTCAAAGCGGTACACCATACATATATTTATTTTTGTACTTATATTATTATTGTTTTTTTTTTCTTTTTTTATTTATTAGGATTTGTTTGGCTCAAATACATACTCCTTCAGTCAACTAGCAAGTATACGTATTTTTATTTTTAACGTTCAATTACAAAATAAATATTTTATTAAATATTTTATATTTTTCCACAAATACTTTTATTTTACATCACATTATTACTTTTATATAAAAAAAAATTATTACTTTTAACTAACACTATAATTAAAATAATATTATTTCTTAAATACCGTACAAAAAATGAATATTTACTTTCTATATGACAAGGGAGTATATTTTTATTTTTATTATTTAATCAAATATCTATTCTTTTAATGTAAAATATTAATTTAAAAATATTTCTATCAAAATAAAAATATTACCCCCTCCGTCCATTTTCTAATGTCCTATCTGATATTTACACGCATTTTTAGGTAATTAGGGTTTTTGTTATAAAATAAAAAATTTGCCTTTAATCTTCATAGAAAATGAAAGAGTAAATAAAGTAAGCGTAAAAGAGTAAATTTTGTGTATAAAAATCGAAAAACGACAATAATTGTTGGACATTTCAAATAGGAAAGTAGAACGTTAATTCGTGGACGGAGTAGTACAATTCTTATTTATTTTTGGCTCCAATATATATTTAATATTTCATTTTTTTAATTAGTCCAAAACTCTGGGTATGTTTATTTAAAATTTTATTTTAGTCCTGCATTATTCATTTTTTTTTTAATTATAAAAATATTTTTTTATTTAATACTCCCCCGTCCCATAAAATGAAGTCTTCGAATGTCTAAATTTTAGCAGTATAAATTAATTATTTAGATAGTGAAGTTAGTTATTTACTCTCTCCATCCAATGTAATATGAATATATTATTGTAGACACGAGAATTTAGGTAAAGTATAATTAGTAAGTAATTAAAAAAATATATTAGTAAAAATAATTATTATTTAGTAAAAATAATTATAGATTAAGATTAAGATAACTAAATAGTTTAAATAAGATTAAAAAAATTTAAATTTTAAAATTTAAAATATGATTGAAGTGTATAATTAATTTTCCAAAAGAAAAAGGACAAATTATGTGGGACGGACAAAAATAGAAAATAGGAACAAATTATGTGGTACGGAGAGAGTAATAATTAAAATAATTTTAAAATATGTATTTAAGTATTTTTAACATTATTTTTTAGAGAATATAATTTTTATATAATACAATATATATTTATTTATTATTACTATAAATTAGGTTTATAAACTATGAAAATTTTAAAAATAAATAAAAATATTTATTAATAAAAAAGAGATATAAATAAAGAGGTTGATTTATATTTATTAAATATGTTAAAATTAAAGAACTTACTAGAAATAAAAAGAGTTTATTTTTTGTTGAAAAAAAAAACAAAAAAAAAAAAACAGAAGAGTTATATATTATAAGAATAATTTTTATTAAAAAGGTTCAGATCAATCATTTATTCATATAATACGAGATAACATTTAAACATCTCGATATAAATATACTATTTCTTGTCATAAATTATAATATCAAAATATTATTTAAAAATTTTAAATAAAAAACAAACACAATTATTCAACTTAAAATTCGAATTAAAACATTAAAACAACCTATAATATTTTCAAATTCCTATCATATTTAGTAAAATCTTAAGAAAAAAAAATTGCTATCATATTTTGTAAATCTTTTAAAAAAAATAAAAAAAGAAATTGCTATCATGTTTTGTAAATTTTTATTTTTATTTAAAAAAAAAGAAAAAAGAAAACTCTTCCGTTGTTCTCTAGAGGATAAGTAGGGATGTCAACGGGGCGGGTTCGGGACGGGTTCTGCAAGCCCCGAGACCTGCCCCGCTAAAAAATATTACGCTCCGAAATCCGCTCTGCCCCGCTTCCACTCGGCCCCAGGATCCGCCCCGCCCCAAACCCTCCGGGTTCGGGGCCAACCCAGCAAACTCGTTTTATTTAAAAATATATAATAATAAATATTTTTTTTAACAATTGAATACTAAAATAAATAGCATTAAAAGCACAAAAAAAATCTAAAAACAATCAAATATTGATTCATAAAAATAAGATAAATAAATAAATAATATATTTTTATTATATAAATATACATATATTAAGTATAATAATTTTAAAAAATTATTTGGAGTAGGAGACTAATTGAATTTTATATTTAAAATTATTTAAGTAAATAAATAATATATTTTTATTATATAAATGTATATATATATATATTAGTTATAATAATTTTAAAAAATATCTGAGTTCGGGTCCGGGTCCAGGTTGGGGCGGATTTTTAATAAAACCCTTAACCCGCCCCAAACTCGACTGAGTTTAAAATTTTAAATTCACAATCCGCCTCAAAACATATTATTTAGACCCGAACCCGCCCCATTAAGAGCGGGCCCGGGGCTAACCCGCCCCATTTGACATGCCTAAGGATAAGATGACACTTTTTAGTTCTGGCTTCACAATTTTATGTATTTATTTATTAAAGATAATGGGTGTGTGGTAGTGGTGTGTTGTATTATTATTATTATTATTATTATTATTATTATTCCGAATTTATAGTAAAAGTGTAAAATAAGATCTTTTAATCCCACTGTTCATCCGGTGTGTTTGTCTGGGGATTGGATTTTAATCTCACTATTCATCCTATTTTTTTTTCCTTAAAAATATTAAATCAAACGCTTATTTTTCATTTTTTATATTATACTAAAAAATCAATTTTACATTCAAAACATCACATCAACACCTCTTTATACCACATCATACAACTGTTTAAATTCAAAATTTTTACTATTCAAATTTCAACTCAAAATCCAAACTCCCAAACAAACACGTCGTGTATTTTCCCTAAAAATATATATTAAATTAAATATTGCAAATTTAGTAATAAAGTAGATCATCTTCTAATAAATCTATAAAAATAAGATAAATATTTTTATTTAAAATTTATCATATAGTATATTAATCATATGGCGTGTTGTGTAATAACTTATGTATATAATTTTCGTCAATAGAAATTAAATATACACTTAGGATCTGTTTAATTAGTCACAATTTCCTTCTACTATTTAATTTACTATTAAAACAAAAGGAAAAATAAAAATTAACCAGCTAAAACTAATTTTTTAATGTACATATATAGACATAAAATATTTACTATTAAATTGATTTTTTTTTTTTAAAGAAAAACATTATACCCCTTTCGTCCCGTTTCAATTGTCTTTATTTCATTTTTCATCTTTTTCACTTTAATTGACATTTTTATTTTTAGTAAAATTTATTAAATATAAATATATTTAACAAATATAAACTTAATTAATTTTATAATATATAACATCACACATGATATAAGACCCAGTTAAAACTTTTTTATTTTTATTTATCTTCTCAATAAATAAATATGTTTATCTATATTTAAAACTTTTTCTTTTTAAAATTAATTTACCAATTATAAATAAAACGAATATATTTTATTTATTTATATTATTTAAAATTTTATTATCTATAAAATAATATTTTTATTAAGATATAAAATTTAAAATATTTAAACACATATTTCAAATTTATTTAAATTATATATATTAATTCTTATTTTAAAATTGGAGTTGAATTAGGTGCTGATATGTTTAAATCAGCACACATGCTAATCAATGTAAAATTTATTATATATAATTATATTAATTATATAACTTATAAAATATATTAACATAATTATTTTTTTGCACTAAAAAGCATGGGTGATGATTTTAGAATCAGCACCTAATCCAAATCTTTTAAAATTACTAACAATATTAGGCATATAAAAATATAATAAAATAATATGACAACTCACTATTATTTTTTAATTAAATATTTTTTTTTACCTTAAATAACATATCCTAAATAAAATAAGTCATTTCGAATGGGACAGGGAGAGTTCTTAATTTTCATATAAATGTAAAAAATAAAAATAATTAAAATTTTAATTCGTTCGTATTGTATCAATTCTATATCAGGTACATAGCATTTTCTCATACAACAATGGTCCCGACTTCCTAAAAAATGACATTCGGGTGAAGCCCGACCTTGATGCCTTAGGCGCATTAGGCGACACCGGCTGGTACGTACTTACTATTAAATTTTTACACAACAAATTTCATGCCAAATCTCCTTAAAATATATCGATTTGGTAAATATCAATTTTTTGTATTTACACACACAAATATTAAATTTAAATACATTTCACTTTTTGTAAAAAAATAAAGTAAATATATTACAGTTCAGTCGATTAATATATAATTTTCTTATACTTATATTTTACCAGGTATTGTATAAGAGCAATCTTATGGGCATCCGATTACAACCTTCCGACAAAAGCCACAGCTCTACCAAACGTCGAGTTCAATGAGGCCGGCGTGATCCTCTCTTGTGGCGCATCTCTACAATTCTCCGATGGCAAAATCACAACTTTCTATTGCTCATTTTTAACCAACTTGACAATGGAAATCAATCTTTTGGGAACGGATGGCTATATTCGTCTCCACGATTTTGTCATACCTTTTCAAGAATATAAAGCACCATTTTACGTCCATGCCAATACCAAATTTGGCGAGCGAGCAATCTCTATTGAGCCAGAACCCGTAGAACACATTGTGAGTACGGATCTCCCACAAGAGGCTTTGATGGTGAAGGAGTTTTCGAATTTGGTGCAAAAAATTGAACGTGAAGGGGGAGAACCAGAGAAGAAGTGGGAAATAATTAGTCGGAAAACTCAACTTGTTGTGGATGCCGTGAAAGCATCGGTTGATAAGGGGTTTGTTGCTGTTGAGGTCGGGGAATAATCTTGTGGATGCCGTGAAAGTATCGGTTGATAAGGGGTTTGTTGCTGTTGAGGTTGGGGAATAATCTTAGAAAATATGAATAAATCGGGTTGTAATAATGTAAGAAAATTATGAAGGGCTTTAATGTTGTAATGTGGATGTTTTTGTTGTTGTATTTGAATACATTATAGGGTGTGTTTGTTTGGGAGATTGGATTTCCAATCCACTATTCGTTCCATTTTTTTTCCAAAAAAATATCAAATCATGTTGTAATTAAAATTTAGGAGAAAATATATAGATTGATCGACAAAGACTAGGAGAAAAAATGGCTCACTCCCATTCTTCAAGAATAACAGGATACAATATATAGAATAGAAGACTTAACTAAGGTCCACAAAATCAGGAATATAACTGATCACTACTTCACTACCAGTAAAGTCACTAAAATAGCAGTAGACTTATTCAAAATTATAATTATCTATTAATATCCCCCATTAATTATGATTTGGGAAAATTCCTACTCCAAGAGCATCTCTGAGTTTAGTGAATGTTTCAATCTTTAACGGCTTAGTGAATATATCAGCAACTTGATCTCCGGATTTGTAATACTTCAGCTCAATTTTTTTCTTTTCAACCTGGTTCCTCAAGAAATGATAGCGTAGCTCGATATGCTTTGTTCTCCCGTGCGTAACTGGGTTCTTGGCTAAATTTATTGTTGAGATGTTATCCACATATATTTTCAACAGCATTGTTGATAAAAACTTGACATGGCTCATAACATATTGTAGCCATAATCCTTGAAGAGTTGCAGAAGCTGCTGCAACGCAACATACTCAGCTTCACATGTTGAGAGTGCAACAATCTCTTGCCTTTTTAAAGACCACACACATGCAGTACCATTAATAATGAAGCAGTGACCACTTGTGTTTTTTCAATCGACCAAGTCACCGGCCCAATCACTATCTGATTAACCAATCGACTCACCCTTGTTGCTTGAGGAATAAAACAAGCCATAATTATAAGTTCCCTTGATATATCGCATAATCCTTTTAACAACTTGAAAGTGAGATTGTGTAGGATGTTCCATGAACCGACTAACCAAGCCAACAACAAAGCATATATCAGGGCGAGTACAAATAAGATACCGTAGACTTCCCACGATCTGCATAAAGTATTTAGAGTCTACAGCGTGGTCATCACCTTCCCTAGACAATCTGGTGCCCGTTTCAATGGGAGTTTTGGCAGGATTACAATCAAGCATATGAAACTTTTCCAAGAACGTAGTAGCATACCTTTATTGGTTGATAAAAATCCCCTTTTCAGTCTGAGTTACTTCTAGACCCAAAAAGTAAGACATGAGACCAAGGTTAGTCATTTCAAATTCTATCATCATCGAAGTCTTGATATCTTCAATGTCACCAAGGTTGCTACCTGTGAAAACTAAATCATCAACATAGAGACACAATATGAGTATGTCATTGTTAGAATTAGTTTTCTTATAAAGACCATATTCAGCTGGGCATTTTTCAAATCCAACATTCATAAGGAAACCATCAATACGCTTGTTCCAGGCATGCGGTGCTTGTTTAAGGCCATATAGGGCCTTGTTGAGCTTGTAAACTTTATCTTCTCCATCCTTCTGCAAGAATCCAAGAGACTGCTTAACATATACTTCCTCTTCAAGTGGTTCATTCAAGAAGGCCGACTTAACATCCATTTGGTGAACTTTCCACTGATTTTGAGCAGCTAAAGCAACGATAATTCTCACTGTTTCAATTCCTGCAACGGGAGCAAAAATTTCTTGATAGTCACAACCGGGCCTTTGTTCAAATCCCTTTGCCACAAGTCTTGCTTTATACCTTTCTACCTGTCCACTTGATGACATTTTTGTTAAACACCTATTTTTCACTTTTTATATTATACTAAAAATCAATTTTACATTCAAAACATCACATCAACACCTATTTATATCACATCATACAATTATTCAAATTCAAAATTTTTACTATTCAAATCCCAACTCAAAATCCAAACCCCCAAACAAACACACCCTATAATAATTCGTGTGGATTTTACTAAGGTATCGGAAGATCAAAATTCGATTTTTTATGAACTATAGTTTTTGCCATCAAATTCACTTGAAGATGTATTCTCTGATTTGCAATTTTTAAATATTTATTTTATCTTCATCTTACACATTACAAAATTCATTTTTAAGTTTATTATACTATACTATCATATTGAAAATTTATCAAGAGCTTATTCATTTTTGTTTTTGTCTTACCCATATTAAAGGATTTGAAGAATATATATTCTCTCAATTGTATTAACAAATTTATTATAATTTTATATAATCAAGGTTTTATTTCAACATCGTAGTCATGTTGTAAATTTAAGTATAGTATTTGCATAGTTGCGTAAGGGATGGTCTGGTGGTGTAGGGGTTGGTCTTGTGACCGTGAGGTCATGGGTTTAAACCCCTGACGCTTCCCATCGAGCCTGATTTGCAGGGTATTAGGTTCGGCCGGGGGTTTAACCCAGTGCGTACTTTCGGGTAGCGACTGCGGGTTCCCACGTCATTCAAAAAAAAAAGTATAGTATACATTTTATTAATGAGACGATATTTAAGACAATGATGTTTAATTAATTAATAATAATGAGTTATGATATTATTTTATTATTTATCATATAATTTAAAATAATTATAGTTTTGAAAGAAATTTAATATATATATGATTAAAAAAATTAGAATATATATTTAAATATTTTAAAACTTATATCACAACAAAAATATATGCAATATGAATATCATTTTGTAGAGAATAAAATTTTCTATAATACATGTAAATAAAAAAATACGTTTATTTATTTATAATTAATATACACTAATTTTATAAACAATGTGAAGTTATAAAGGTAGATAAAAATATTTATTTTTTGAGGAGAGAGATTGAACTAAATGAGTTTTTAGTGGGTCCTACATGATCTATTGATATTATGGCGGCGGCTGAATAATACATCGTGTGCTATTAGATATCACATAATATTACTACAAACAACACACTGTATATATTAATATAATACAAATATAACACATAAACAAAACACACATGTTATAGTCTTAACAACACACAATATTATTATAAACAATACACATTATTGCTACTGACAATATATTATATATGTTAATATAATACAAATACAACACATGAACTAACAACACATGTTATAGTCTCGTACATCACACACAATAATAATTAATTTTAGCACATGATATACTTGTATAAGACACACTTGTTATTATTAAAAAACAACACATACTTTTTTTTTTTGATCGGAAAGATCAAAGATTTTATAGATATAAAATATAGAGATATATACAAATATGTCGGGCATCCCCGGGGAATAAAAAAACTAACAAAAAATGAGGTACTACCTCAATTGTAGCCACGCGTCCACTAACCGAATAAATAATTACAATCCAACCCAACATAAACTAATAATTACAATGCAAAAATTCTGAAGTAATCTAGTGCAGAGGGATTATGGATCTGGTCCTCTCCTTCTCGCCACAGAGGTGCTTGCCATTAGGAAATTTCGATAACAGAAAATTTTAATTTTCGTAGAGGAAGTACTCGGTTCTAAAGAGAAATTCTCGAAAATCCCTTTATTCCTAGCAGTCCATATATAATAAACTGTAGCCGCAAAGGCAGCCTGTCTCATAAACTGGAGGCTAGGGTCTGAATTTCGATTGCCTTGGAGCCAAATAAATGATTTCTGAATGGAGTCGAGATTCTGCGGGATTTTCAGCCAAGCGCATATGTCCAGCCACACTTTCGATGTAAACGAGCACTTGAAGAACAGATGGTCCATGTCTTCAACACAATCCTAGCATATGATGTGTGTAATACTAATGTATACTGTTTGTATATATAGCGTGTGCTGATGTGAAAAATCATCGCGGTACTAATTTTTTCAAATCAACACCGTAATCATCCTCTGATATTATATTTTATGTAGTTAATTAAGTTGATTTATATTTGTTAATTATATTTTGATTTAGTAATTTTCACAAAAATAGAAAGATGTCAATTGTTATGGGATAAACAAAAATAAAAAATGTGTCAATTAAATTGGAACGAAGAAAATATTTAATGTAATTTTTTAAAAAACGACCGTATATGTTTTTTTTAACATAGAATTTAAATAGTAAAATACATAATAAAAATTAAAAAGAAAGATAATATTTTTCTAAAAATATGATATATAATATTTATTTATATTGAAAAATATTTCGTTTGAAATTCTCTCGAACATTAAAAAGAGACAAACTCCTCTGTGTAATGTGAAATAAAATTATATATGAATGATACTTGAAAAAATATAACAGTTAAAAAATAATAAATTCGTGGTAATCAGGAAAAATTGAAAAAAAAATTTCACACATATACCCCATTATCACTTTTGTCCTATATTTATCTCGCTGGCAAAATATATCTCATATGTTTGCAAAAATCGCTATTGCTATCATTTGGCCGCACGTGACTGCGTGTGATCGCGCGTAAGGGCGCATGGTGTGAATATTATGCACGGGCAAAAGATATAAATATCGATTTTTGTAAACATGTAAGATATATTTTGCCAACAAGATAAATAAAAAATAAAAAAAAAATAAAAAAAGACTAATGGATTGATAGTAATAAATTTATGTTCGTTCTCCATCCCCAATTTCAGGGCTCGTTCCGCACTGAAACGATAACAAAACAATAAATTAAATACCTATTTTTAGGTACAATATGAATAAATACATCAACAAACACACAATATTAACTAGTCTATTCTACAACCTCCTTTGTACCGCAACATGCAAGAAAGTAATTGTTATACTTTAATCATAAAAGCAACATAACACTTGTATAGTTGAGAATAAGTCTGCTACATGTTGGTCTCATTTTTGCTTAAACCTTCGATTTTTCATTCTTTAGATTAATCTCCGGTAACCTTGAAGTTACTAAAACATATTCAAACAGAGAATGAAACTTCAAAACTTCAAAACATTTGATAATTTTATCTTACTACAATTTTAACACCAACTTGTCGCACTCTCAAATACAGCCAAGTCTGACTTGTTTTTGACCAACTTTGGGACAATGGAATTGAGGTCATTAAATGACCTACAAATACTCTGAAGCACGTTTTAACTTCTCCATATGTTAGGCTTCATGTGACAATTTGAATATGTCTTGTAGCCTTCAACTTTAATCGATTTTGAGCCATGCAAAATGATCTTGTAAACCGATGTCAAATTTATGCAAGTTGTGCGATAGTTTTGCGAAGGTATTAAAGACTCTTTGCACCAAAATGAACATATATACTCTTCCATACGCATCAGACAAAATATTGACTTCAATTTGTCATTTTGATCAAACGTACACCAAATTGGAATGGGATAAAAACATGTCCGGCACCATTCTCCACACCTTCACATCTCTGTACTGTTTTAGTCTCATTTGTATTATTTCGACAAATATGACAATTTGAGATATTTTTGTATTATATATGTTAAAAAAAAGATTTTCCTAACAATTTTTATATAATATTATACTAACTAACTGTTTCATCTCTAAGATTATCAAAATTTAGAGCATGTTTCTTTTGATAGGTTCGGAAAAATATATATATTTTGTGACTTCATCTCTAAGTATATAAATATCAAATAAATATATATTATGTGATATATTTTGTGACTTCAAAAGGGTACATTTTTGTACCATTTTCAATAAATATATATTTAAAATATTAAATAAAAATATTATTTAAATAAAAATTATCATATTTCAAATCACAGTCAAACAAAGCGTTACTTTTTTATAATGTATTTTCATGACCGCTATAAGTTACGAGTGTGTTTCTTTTGGTAGTTTGAGAAAATTTAGTTTGAGTTTGATATTAAAATAATGTTTGATGAGTTGTTTTGTGAGAAAAAAAGTATATACTGCAAAAAAAAAAATAGTATATTTGTAACGGAATTTCATCCATAAAGTTCACGTAGCTAACATAATTTCATCTCTAATTTGGTCTTTAATATCATTATTAATAGAAAAAGTGGATTTAAAGACAAAAAAATCTTGTATTTTCTTGTAGTGATATTTTTTTGAGAATCGCATAGTCTAAATAGTAGAATTTGAAAAATTTGATCTAAAGTTAAAATATATTTATAAACTATATTAAAAATAATATATGTAAATAAAAAAAATTAGAAAAATTGCATGGGGATAGATTTTCGGGGGATTAAACATCCCACCGACACTATTAACCCTCAAAATCACAAATTTGAAATACTCCTCGCAATAACCAGAGATGACCGTACAAATTACTATCCATTATATTACACCACTCGATCCATTTTCCTCCATTCAACACCCCCCCCCCCCCCCCCCCAACCCTATCCCCCTACCTTATCCAATGGCCGCCGCCGAGCCGCCGGTGCGCTATGGGATCCTGGGCTGCGCCAATATAGCGCGAAAGATGTGGCGGGCGATTCTCCTCTCCGGCAACTCCACCGTCGTCGCCGTCGGCAGCCGATCCCTCGCCAAAGCCGAGGCTTTCGCTAAGGAAAACGGCTTCCCCGGCTCGGCTAGGGCTTACGGCTCCTACGACGCCGTCATTGACGACCCAGACGTTGACGCCGTCTACATTCCGTTGCCGACGAGCCTCCACCGGCGGTGGGCGGCCCTTGCGGCGGAGAAGAAGAAGCACGTGCTGCTGGAGAAGCCGGTGGCGCTGAACGTGGCGGAGCTTGACGAGATACTGGCAGCGTGCCGAGTGAATGGAGTGCAGTACATGGACGCCACCATGTGGATGCACCACCCCCGCACGGCGGCGATCGCGGCGGCGCTCTCCGACCGCTGCCGCTTTGGCCAACTCAAAGCGGTACCCCAATAAATGCGCCAGACCCACACACATACATATATATTATAGAAGGGTCTCATTTATTTATTTATTATTAGTATTATTTTTTTGTGTTTGATTTTTTTATATTAATTATTATATTTAAAGATATTCCTTCCGTCTACAAACATTTTATTTTTTTATTTGGTACGTCTAACAACTATTATTTTTAATCTCTACCGTACAATTAAAGATAAATTTATCAATTCATAACAAAAGACAATCACCTAAAAAACCGTGCAAATATATTTTAGGATAATAGAAATTGGACGGAGGGAATAGTATAAATTAAGTGAAAATGACAAAAATAAGTGCCTTATAATACTGTTATAATAAAATTTATATAAAAAATTAAATAAATATAAAAATATTTTTAATGTTAAATACATTGGCACAAATGGGACGAGAGTATTATTTATATATATAAGCACGTTTTAATACAAAATATAAATTAATATTTGAATTAATTAAATTTGTTGTTGAATGGATATATGTATGAGTGACAGGTACATATTATATATTCACACAACTGCGGTCCTGATTTCCTCAAAAATGACATTCGGGTGAAGCCCGACCTTGACGCCTTAGGTGCATTAGGCGATGCTGGCTGGTAATTATCCTTTTTTTTTTTTTTTTTTTTTTATTATTATTTTTTATTTTTAAAAAACTTGGTAAATCCAGTTCATATTCCTTTTAATTTAGAATTGGAAAATCACACGGTTTAATTTTAATTTTAAATTTGAAAATTTCGATAGCAATTTATTCTATTTTAAATTAAAGTTAAATATGAGTCATATATATTTAAAATTCACGAAACAAATGCCCACATTTAATAGTCATATTTTCGTTTTGCATGATTGTACTTAACATTAAAAATATATTTATATTTATATATATATTTTTTTACAAATGTCATTCTATTAGTATTATAAAACACTAATTGAAGTATTTTTGCAATTTTTTTTCTAAATTTGTACTATATTTTGATATAATAATTAATATTAAAAAATCAGCACGACAAAAAGTAAATGTAACTCTTAGAGCTGGACGGAAGTAGTATAATTTTTTTTGACTATATATATGTTTGTTTTAATAGGTATTGTATCAGAGCAATTTTATGGGCATACGATTACAATCTCCCGACAACCGTCGTAGCTCTACCAAACACCGAGTTCAACGAGGCCGGCGTTATCCTCTCATGTGGCGCTTCCTTACAATATCCCGACAACAAAATGACAACTTTTTACTGTTCGTTTTTAGCCAATTTGACGATGGAGGTCAATTTTTTAGGAACTGATGGCTATATTCGCTTCAACGATTTTGTCATACCTTTCGAAGAGAAAGTAACACATTTCTATGAGCATGCCAACACTCGATTTGGCGAGCTAGCAACTTCTATCGAGCCTTTGCCCACAAAACATGTTGTAAGATCGGATCTCCCACAAGAGGTTTTGATGGTGAAGGAGTTTTCGAATTTGGTGCAAAAAATTGATCGTGGGGGAGAGAAAAGTGAGAAAAAATGGGAAATTATTAGTCGCAAAACTCAACTTGTTATGGATGCCGTCAAGACATCGATTGATAAGGGTTTTGTTGCCGTTGAGGTCGAGGAATAGTGTAATAAAAGGGATTTATTGTAGTATGAATTGATCGTATTGCAATAATGTTAAAATGATTGGTAAAGATTCTATTGTTGTAATGTGGATTTGTTGTTGTGGATATGTTTCTTTAGCATAAATTTTTCAAATTTTACTATTTGAACTCTGCGTTTTCCGAAAAAAAAATATATTTTTTCATCTCACAAAACATCTCATCAAATATTATTTTCATATCAAACTCAAACCAATTTTTTTTCAAACTCATCAAAAGAAATACACCCTTAATTTTCCATTTGTTAAATTATATATATAATTTTCCAATCGGGTCTAGTTTGCAGATATTAGGTTCTGCCTGGATTTACCAAATGTACACTTTCGGGTAGCGGCTGCGGTTCACACATCATAAAAAGAAATAAAATAAAATAAAATTACACAACTCATCTTATTAATTTTCTTTCAAGTAACTCTCTCTGCACAAATTTAACCTTATTTTACTCCTAAACGTAAAGTTAGCAAAAATATCCCCGAAAAGTAAAATTACCTATTTATCCTTATTTATACACTAAAATTTAAAAATAAATAGACCATTGAAAATGGATATGTACTAAATTTTGTGTAGCCCAATAAAAAAGACATAGCGATGGTTTGGGCCTAAAATTGTGTAAGAGAGAGAGAGAGGGATTATTATTATTATTATTATTATTATTTATTTATTTATTTAAAGAGATAGAGAGGGCTTTTAAGGATTTTTTTACGATTCTGTTTTTTTTCAACAAAATATATCAATTATACATTATTTTTTATATTAAAATGAAACAATTTATATAAAAAAATATTATATCAATATTTATTTATATTATGTAAAATAATTATCTTGCAACAAACATTTGCAAGCAAGGAAAAGGAAAATAAAAAATCTTTATGCTAAATGTGAAACAAATGAAGGTCAAATAAATTATTAGGTGGAAAGTTTGGATTTCTTCTTAATATGCATATATATATATATTATTTTATTATATGGATTCCATATTGAAAAAAATCTTTCTTATTTAAAAAAAAAATAAAATAAAATAACATCTATATCCAAACAAAGTCAAATATTATTTCAAACTAATATGCTATTTCCTATATATAAAAAAAAATACACACCCGTTCCGTTCCAACTATATAAAAATTTAATTTTTATCATTTCATCTTTCAAATAAAAAATATCAATTATCGATGATTATAGTATAAATAATTATATACTAATACTAAAATATTTTTAATTCTTCCGATAAAAAAAAAATTTATTTTCTTGGATAATGCAAGAAACATCAAAGGTGGAGTAGTAGTGATCTTAAAGGTTCTAGTCATTGGGCAAATGAGAGATGCACGTGCAATTCATAATTTAGAGCATTGGACTTTGAAACCCTTTTTAGTATTTGTAATTAACTAATTACTTAATTAATTATTTAGTAGAAATTTAGAGGAGTGTGCATGCCTCAAATATCTATTATTTAATTATCGTCCCAACAAAACAAACATTCAATTTTTTTGGAGATATATAAAAATAAAAATATTCATGTTTAGAAAGTATATATAAATATATATCGATCACTTCAATAATAGTTAAGTGCAATCTACACTTTTAGACCACTTTCTAATCACTCAAATTTCTTGGACTCATCATAATCTCTTGAAGCGTAGGAATTATTCAATAAAATAAAATAAAATAATAAAAGAAATACCACCCATATTCGAAGTTCAATAAATAAATAAATAAAATAAATACAACCCATATTCGAAGTTCAAAAAATAAATAAAAATATATGATCAAACAAAGATAATTTGAGATCACAAAAAAATGCAAAAACACATAAAAAGATGATAATCTTAGTATTTTGGAAAAAAAGTAATATAATTAAAAAATAAATTTTACACTAAAAAAATTAATAAAATTTGATGACTAGGGGCCCTCGAGCCCCTTCTTAGAGCTACTACTGATATTGTGTGTAAGAGCATAAATACGATCGTAATTTATTTTTCTCTCTTTTTTTTTTCACTCTGAATTATCTCTATTTTTAATAAAATTTGTATAACAGAATTAATAAATTTATTTATATTTATAAAAATACGAGGTGAGCATATATAGATACAAAAGGATTAACACATTGTAAGAGAGGGGCCGGGGGGGGGGGGGTTGGGACACGTGTCATCCATGCAGACGTTGATTCATTAATCCAGCTGCTGCATGCGCTAATTAGGACATGCATATATATATATATATAATATAAATATATGTAAAGTAGCCAATAATATTGCAATGATGCAGACACAGACATGCATGAATATACGTATAAGTATGTATGTATTATGATGAGTGAATAATTGTGAAGTTAATTAAAAATGAAAAGGTTCCGATCAAATAAAATAAATAAATAAATAAATAAAAGATGAAAAAGACAGCTTGCTTCCCGGCGTTACACGCGCCGCCTCACCGCTGGCCGGCGCAACTAACTCCTAGTCCTACCTATCTAATCTCATATATATATATATATATATATATTTATATGTATTATGTATATAGAGATTTGTGCATTATACAAATTTAAATTTATTTATTTATATATATATATATATATTTATGTCTAGTTGGCTAATTAGAGTAATCAGTACCATATTGAGTAATTTTAATTAGCATATGAAATCCGTAACACAAATACAAAATATAATACTACCTCTGTGCACCGCCAATATATCCCTTTACTTTTTGCATGCTAATATTTGAATATTAATTATTATATCAAAACGTAGTACAAATTAAGAAAAAACGACAAAAATATTTTTATTGGTGTCTTATAATACTAATGTAATGACATTTGTACAAAAAATTATACAAATATAAAGATATTTTTAATGTTAAAGACAATGACGCCAAATACAAATGGATAGATTGGTGGTGGACGGAGGAGGTAGTAGATCTATTGCATAGTTCATATATGCCACAATTAATTTCAACATAAAATGTATATTAATACAATTGATATATAAAATACTCGCTCCGTCCGACTCTAAGGGTCTTAATTATCTTTTGTATTATTGTACTTAACATTATAAATATCTTTATATTTGTATAATTTTTTGCACAAATATCATTGTAAGAGTATTATAAGACACTAATTGAAGTATTTTTGTCATTTTTCATTAATTTGTACTACGTTTTCATATAATAATTAATAGTCAAAGATCAACACGTAAAAATGAGACCCTTAGAACCGGACGAAAGTAGTACAAAGTATGAAACAATATATGATAACAATATATATATATATAACATATTTTGTATTAATTCAATTTATGTATTGTCCGCCTATACTTCATGTGTTGATTATGACTAATTAACATTGTACTTCCTCCGTCATTTAACAATCTATCTATTTTTTCATTTTGGTCCGTCTCATAACAAAGTATAATTTCATTTTTAAGTAACTGTACTATCTACCTAGCATTACAAATACGCTTCCAATTTACAATATATTGCACAGGTGCCCTTACTTTTATATAATACAATACTAATAAGTATAGTTTATTTTTTTTTACCTTTATTTCTACTGCATCCTAATATAATACTAATATTTCTAAAACTCCGTACAAAAAGTAAATGAATATAGAGAGATATGAGACGAAGGGAGTACTAGCTAACAATCCCCATGTATGTATATCTACAAATTGTATTTGGGCTGTTGTTTGTGTGTTTTATATATATATTTTTTTGTGTTTTACATAATAAAATTTTTAATTAATAATATATAGTATATTTTTTAATGTCATATTTTTAATTAAAAAAACCAAAATATTGAATAAGAGAAAATTTAGATTGTATTCTTTTAGCATTTAGAAAATTGAGATTTTTTTTCTTTTAGTTACTTAAAATTATGAAAATTTTATAATTTTTTTTGCAGCGGATTTTCACATTATAAAAAAAAAAAAAAAAAATGCAAGATCATGTGACGTAATTTAATTACCTTTTGTTGATTGAGGAAGATATTTTTTTGAGAAATGCATTCATTTTATGGGAAAATGTTTAGTTAGTTTGAAAAAGGTAAAAGTGATTGTTTTAATTAAATTTTTACTTGTATATACCTAAAAGGCACACGTACGCCAACAAAATTAATAAAATCATCATCGATTCCTGGTACAATAACAAACATTAAAAATTATTGCAAAATTATTATTATTACTATTATTATAGGAACCAACAATTGTAAGTAGTACTACATACTTAGGTAATAGGTAGTCTAGATAGCCGCCCAATCTCCTAATTTATGCCAACTATGGTTCCACTTAAGAAAATTACTACCTCCGTCCAATCTAATATGAGTGTATTAGCGTAGACACGAGAATTTAGGTAAAGTATAATTAATAAGTAATTAAGAAATATATTAGTAAAAATAATTATAGATTAAGATTAAGATAACTAAATAATTTAATTAAGATTAAAATTAAATTAAATTTTAAATTTTAAAATATGATTAAAGTGTATAATTAATTTTTCAAAAAAGGAAATGACAAATTACGTGGGACAGATGAAAATAAAAAATAGGGACAAATTATGTGGGACGGATGGAGGGAGTATTAATTTAGGGGTGCTTTCAATTTTATTTAATTATTTCTTTCTTCTTCTTCTACTACTTTTTTCAAAATTTTATTTTAAAGTAAAATATGTTTTCCAAAAAAAGAAAAATACAAAAATGATAGGTAACATATATATATATATATATTACTCCCTCCGTTCAAACAATAAGTATACATTTACTTTTGGCGCGGAATTTAAGAAATAATAGTATTTTAATTATAGTTGGTAGGTAAAAGTAATGTAATGACATTTTTTCCCTTACTTTTAGGTATAAAAGTAATAATGATGTGATGTAAAGTATGAGTATTTATGAAAAAAAGATATTTAATGAAATGATTACTTTGTAATTGAACGCCCCAAAAATAAAAATATGAATATTTTGTGGGTGGACGAATGGAGTATATTTTTTTATTTAAACTATAACATATAAAAGATATCTTCCATACAAAATATAAATTCACAATATCACATCAAACATTTATTTTGTGTATTAATAATTGAAAAAAAAAAAACTCCCAAAACACAACTCATCTATATCTTTGTTTTGTGTATTAATATTAATCACTAAGTAAACAAGTTAATCCTCCTACTAATTCATGGCATTGCAATTCTTTATATATATATATATATATAATAACATCCTTATATATATATATATATTCATAATTTTCAATGACTATTATATAAATATAAATATATTCTTTTCTTTCATAGTTAATTTTGTTTCATTTAATTATATGTACTCTCATATAACTTTTCAAAAAACATATAACAATTAAAAAATAAAAAATAGAAAGCTTCAAAATAAAAACATGCAAAGGATGATTGTGCGTTGTTGTTGTTTAAGTCAGAATTAAATGTATTATTTACCTTGTGGCATTTATTATATTTACCTTGTGCGCACCGGGTAAATCCCCGACTGAACTTAATACGTATGACAAGCAAGTCACACTAGGCGAACCATGTATGACAGGTGACCTGAGACGTCGGGGGTTTGAACCTATGACCTCACGGTCACACACAGTGGCAGAGCCACATAGGGGCTCGGGGGGTCCCGAGCCCCCCGAGCCGTCGTCTCCGCCGTTACGTCGACTATATTATTTGTTACACAGGGTGTGTTTATTTAGGGGGATTTTGGGAAATTTTGGTTTGAATTTGGTTTTTATTTGAATTTTTAGTTTAATTTGAATTTTGATGTTTATTTTGTATTTAGGTTTGGTCAGGGGTTTGAGAAGTTTTGATACGATTGATTAGACTAGTAACAAATATAATAATATAACTGTGTATTAAGTTGTATAATTTAATTATAAATTTATATTATATGTACATATATATTTCTGAATTTTTATTTTTCTGTATTATAAAAAAAATTTATTCGCTATAAAATGACATATATATTGAATATATTTTATTAAATTATGCGTATTATAAAAATTTAAATTTAAATTTATAATTTAAATAAATAAATAAATAAAACATGTGCAGTACAAGAAGCCCGATTTGAGGCCTAAACCTGGGTCAACAGTGATCATACAGTAGTTTTGGCCAAAACACACTTATAGATAATTTGTCCGTTTAAAATATATATTTTTACCATTAATTTCGTTCAAAATAATAAAAATTACTTATTTTTCTACCTCAACGAAGTCTTTAATTAGCCATTCGGCGAAACAAGTTTAGCTCCGCCACTATTCACACATCCAACCTCCACTAAGCTAATACCATATACAAGTTAAATAATCCCTAAAAAATTAAAACAAGTAATGTGGATATAAAGCTCTTTAATTTAATTATTACATGGCGTAAGAGATGAAACTAAAGTCGAACATTCAAACATGACTTTTAGGACCAAGTTGATTGTTACCCCTTTTGTAAGTGACCTAATCGAAGCAAACCCTTCATTTATTACTTGTTTATTCTCCCCAAAAATATCATCTTTTCAAAATTAATTCATAATAATAATAATAATAATAATAATAAAAGTAAAAAGCCCTCCTTGTTCAAGAATTTCCACCTATATATACACCATTTCTTCTTCCCTCATTACCACCTCAAAGTGACAACAAAATCTCTATTCCTCTCCATACAAAAATAAACCCAAGATTTTAATTTCATTGCAATACATAAATATATATATATATATATATTCTAAGTAAATTTTGATTTTGGTTGTCTTAACTAATTGTCAATTCTCAGTTGTCATGGATTTCTCTAACACTTTTGATAACACAAAGTGGATGTTTTTTTACCTCCCCACACTCTTTGAATTACAAAATCTTGATGATTTCATGTCAATCTTGTTTTTCACTTTGGTTGCTTTTCTCATTCATGGGCTAATCATTTGGGCTTTTTCGGCCGGCGGGCCGGCTTGGAAAAACGGGCGCCAACAAATGGGCCGGGTTTCCATTCCCGGGCCAAAAGGGCTACCATTTTTCGGTAGCTTATTCAGCTTGAGCCATGGCTTGGCCCACCGTACTCTTGCCCGAATGGCTTCAAGCCATTCGGCAACTGAGCTCATGGCTTTTAGCTTAGGTTCAACTCCCGTTGTAGTAACTTCTGAACCATGTGTTGCACGTGAAATCTTAACTTCACCACATTTCGCTAGCCGTCCAATCAAAGAGTCGGCTAGGGAACTAATGTTTAGTCGAGCCATAGGATTCGCCCCCGATGGAGCCTATTGGAGAATGCTTAGAAAAATTGCATCGAGTCACCTTTTTGCGCCCAAAAGAATATTGGCCCATGAAGGTGTTCGACAAATTGAATGCTCGGCGATGTTAGGCGCTATAGGGAAGGAACAATCCCTTAAGGGTTTTGTGCATCTTAGGGAACATCTTCAAAAGGCTTCTTTGAACACAATAATGGAGATTGTATTCGGGAAAAGGTACAACATTGAGGAGCATGATACCCGAGCGAAGGAGTTGAATGAGTTAGTGAGAGAAGGGTTCGAGCTTTTGGGAGCTTTCAATTGGTCGGATCATCTTCCATGGTTGAAGTACTTTTATGATCCTTACCATATTAAAGAACGATGCGCGGATTTGGTGCCTAAGGTCAAGAAACTAGTGAAAGAAATCATTAAGGAACACGAGAATGGCGATCATAAAACACGAGATGAATGTGACTTTGTCGATGTTTTGCTCTCTCTCGACGGCCCGGAGAAGCTCGAGGAGGATGACATGGTGGCTGTCTTATGGGTTAGTATATGAATTTTAGTTAAATTGTCTTTCAATAGCTAGTTAACTTTAGAGTTTGTTTTCTTTACAATTTTTTTAGCAACCCTAAATATGATCCAACTAAATCGATGCACAAATTACTTTACAATTTTAAAGTATTAACATACTTAATTATTCTTAAATCCATTATTAATATACTAATTGGCATGATTATGTTCTATATATTAAATAATTAAAATAAAGGTAATCCCTTGAACTACAATCATATATCATTGTTTGATCTAGTTTCATTGATACTCCCCCATCGTATATAGTTTGTTTAATTTTTCATTTTGATATGTCTCATATATTAAATAATTATAACACTTGTATCTACACTGTATCAGACAACATAGCTAGAACGGAGACAGTATAATATCGTAATGTATATATCTACACATTAACTTGCTCTAAACCCTAATGACCAAAACCCTAATCTATATCCACACACATACATACATATATATATATATATGTAATACGAGGCAATCGATGACTTATTTTGTTCATTAATCCACAGGAAATGATATTTCGTGGCACGGACACGACAGCCCTTCTAACAGAATGGATAATGGCTGAGCTAGTCCTAAACCCTAATGTCCAATCCACACTCCATTCCGAACTCCAAACCCTAGCCCAATCCGGCCACGCCGCTGCCGCCAAGTCCCCGTACCTCGACGCCGTCATCAAAGAAACCCTCCGGCTTCACCCGCCAGGGCCCCTCCTTTCGTGGGCCCGCCTCTCGACGGCGGACGTCCGCCTCGCCAACGGCATGGCAATACCTAGCGGCACGACGGCTATGGTGAACATGTGGTCCATAACGCACGATCCGAGAATATGGGACGAGCCGTTGGCCTTCAAGCCGGAGAGGTTCTTGGAGTCGGGGGGCGGCGGGGGGCACAATGTGGACGTGCGCGGGGGCGATCTGAGGCTGGCGCCGTTCGGGGCCGGGCGGAGGGCGTGTCCCGGGAGGGGGTTGGGGATGGCGAGTGTGAGCTTGTGGGTTGGGAGATTGGTGAGGGAGTTTGAATGGGTCGAGGGCAGCCATGGGAGGGTTGATTTGAGTGAGGAGTTGAAGCTTTCTTGTCAGATGAAGGTTCCACTCTCAGCTGTGGCTATCCCTAGGGGAAGTAAAGGAGGTTCCTATTAGGGTTTCTTGAGGATGTTTTGGCTATATATACTTGTTTCTTTATATATATATATATGTATGTGTGTGTAATGTGTGTATCATATAAAAGCACGAAGACAAAGAATAAGGGTTAAGGGTGTAATAAATATATGTACAAGGTGGGATTAATGGCAATCGTATGTATGTGTGTTATGTGTGAGGTATATAGGTATGAAGAGAAAGAATGCGGGTTAAGGTTGTAATAACTATATATATATATATATATGTGATGGGATTAATGAATGACAATTCCATATATATTTGATAACGTGGAAATCACGGTTGTTACTTTTCGAATGTGCACTATTTAGATATAAACTTGTGCTATGTTTGTAATGAAGGTGCATTATGCTATTATTCGATTGAGCAATATATCGCTGACTTGATATGAATACTAGACACTACAAAATAAATAAATGAAATAAAATTATTAATAAAAATTTTCCTCGCAAAATAGACTTGGTCTTACAATTGGAATAATTCTATCCCACCGTCTCATACACACAGTGTGTATATGTACACATGTGTGTACGTATAAAATAATATTTTATACATACACATGCATGTATGTATATACACTATGTATGTTGGGATAGAGAGATCGGATTTGTTTTTTAGACGAGTGATCCTATGGGTACAACAAGCTATTACTAGAGGAAATCGGAAGTAGAGTTTTTGAAGTATCACTAGTGCTCACTTGTAACGAACATACGAACCCACATTTCTCCTTTTTCCCTTGGTAACCGCTTGCGACGGATTCAACAAGGGATGCTGACCCATATTTAAGGAATATTGATATTAAATTGACAGGGGTAAAAACTATGGATTAAAGATTTTTTTTTTTTTTTTCTTGTGAGTGTAATAGTGTAAAAAATAGTGGCAATTGTGTAATAATAATGAAAAAGTAAATGTAGTTTTATAATGATATGGTTATTTATAGAAATAAAACTATTGTTTTGATACGGACAAAAATTGTAAACAAGACTATTGTATTGGGACGGATGGAGTATATAATATTAAAAAATTTTAAAATGTGTATTTAATTATTTTAATAGCTATATTTTAAAGAGTTTTGAATATATATAAATTGGTTGTGGCTACAATAAGCACTGTGTTAAACAACACACAAACAATATTAAAATTATTATTATAATACAAACACAAAACACATAAACTAACAACACAAATAGCTAACAAATAATATAGTGACAAATACATCATTTATATTCATATAATACAAACACAACACATGAATTAACAGTACATGATGATATAGTCTCACACAATACGTGCAGCAGTTTATTTCAGCACATGACATATACTTGTACAACACACGTATAATTCTAAACAAACAGCACGTGTTGTTTTTAATAAAGACTTGTGTTATTTTTGTATTTTATGAGTGCTACTGATTTTTCCAAATCAGCACGGTAACCTTCCCCATATAAATATATTTTTATAATGAAAAGAGAGATAAAAATATAATATTTTGAATGAATTTTGAACGAGTTTCATACAATGTACTCCCTCCGTCCCAAACACCGTGCAACATTTCCTTTTTGATATGTCTCAAACACCCTGCAACATTTCCAAAATATGAAATAATTAATTATTCTTAATTTCTACCTCACACTTTATTCCATCGCATCACTCAAATAAAAAAATAAAATATATATTTCTCTCTCCATCATATCACCTAATTTTTAAACTATTCTACTTAATACTACCCACCTAAAAACTCGTGCCCAAAACAAATGTTGCACCTTATTTAAGACGGAGGGAGTAATAGTTTGGAAAAAAGAAAAAATGAAAGCATAATGTCAACCATAAGTCTCATATCATCGACAACTCATTCAACAATCATATCATAAAACAATATTTACCAATATCGCAAAATAAATATATCGACGGAAGCAGATTCAATACATACATCCCAAAATGGAAGCTTTTACCCCCTACATTGCCATCAAAGCTACGGCGTTCTATATATGCTCGGATTCTACAAAGCTCTTCCATGTCATAACATTTTGGTCGGGGATTGCCTACCCATTCTGCTAGAAGCCCATCATCCAATTGTCCACGTGCTCCATACAATCATCGACCATGCCAAACTACCCTCACATCTCTCAGCTCGTGTCATCTACCGAGGTCTAAATGCCCTCAAAACCATATCTCCAACTATTGTTAATGTTGCTCGACATCGGTATACCTCGAAATATAACCATCGCTACCAAAGGATGAATGATCAATTAACACCGTCGCAACCAAAGCCCCTAGCCCGAAAATGCGATTCTTCTTACATATCTTAAATATAGAGATCAATCATGATATTGTATGATTTTTTATTTTTTATTTTGTCTTGTGCGGTAAATTCATATGTTTTATTCGTATTATATTAACAATATATAATTAGAGTCTGGTTATTTTGGATGATTAAAGTGAATAATATTAGTATATACAAATTAATCACTCATTTGCTTTATCTTATTAAAATCATTAATTAGAGCTCGACATAATCATACAATAGTTAGGACCATTCATCATATTTAGATGGACGTGATTCTCCATACAAAATCGTATTCAAAATTTATTTTCATTCAAAATATTTTATAAGAAACTCTATTCAAAATATTACATTCAACACCTACTAAGATTAATCATATTATGCTCATAACATATGAAATACAAATTGGTCGCATATAAAAAATATAAACTAAAATATAAACTGGTAGCACATAAGATATAGACCGATAGCACAAAATGCATGTTTATATAATAAAATAATACAATATATGAACTAACAACACATGACAATAGTCCACACAATATGTAATATTACCATCGATCCCAGCACGAAAGATATATTAACAGGGCGCTGATTAATTCTTAATCAGTATCCTAACCGGTCCCCTCTAAAACATATCTAAACGCACGATTAATTCAAATATAGTGATGAACTTTGGTACTTACTTGAAGCCGAGACCGGAGCCAAAACCTTTTAACATGGTGCCACAGGTACAAACAAGTTTAACTAGATCCGTGCCCTCCCCTTGCATTACTAATCACTTCCCAATTGCGCCTCTCGCCTTTCAATCATGTCTCACCCGTAGCTTCCATTCAGTTCTGCAGCAATGGCTATTGAACTGAAGAACCTGTATGCTGTTGAAATGATGCTACAAGTTCCAGAAAAAGGCTAAAACACAAACCTCCGGCATATCTTTTGGAAGCATCAGTGAGTTTTTGGCCATTTTCAGTATCAATTGTTTGCATAATCATTGTTTCTAAACACTACAAATATATATATATATACATGTATACGTACATGCAGGATTACGGACGTTTACTTGTGAGCTCAAGAGCAGGAATTGGCTCATTGCCGGTCTCAATTCCACCAAGGCATGGAGGCTTGGCAGCTCCGTAATAGAAGAATGCCATTATCTTAGACAATTCATCAGCTGTTCGGATTGCTAAACACCAGAAAAAAAAATTAAAATTTAATCGTATGGAGAGAACACTTTATGATAGTAGACCCAGTTTACCTTTTTCTCGGTATAAAATCTTCCCAGCTTTAGTGAAAATGAGCTCGGGGAAAGTGGAGACTTGTAGAGCGGAAACCAAATCAAGCTCGGCATTGGCATCTATTGCTACACACTGTTTGATAATACTCATTAGTAGATTGTAACGAACAAATGAGCCCATAAAAAGATGATACTGTTACTTACTCGCGGTGATGGTAGCCGACAATTCCAAATGATTTGCACTGCTTTCTCTAATTCATCTCGGAACTTTTCATTTTCCTTTGGTCTGAAGATAAGCACGACTATTTATATATTTTCAAGCTTCAACTCTATACACATACAAACTTGAAAGCAAATAAGTTGATAATACAAAACATCCACATTCCTCACATGTAATGGGAGTAAATTAGAATTGCTATTTCTTGTAGGAAGCAAATCGTCGAAACATTGAGACAGGTAGCTCATCAACTTTCTTAATTTCTCGGAAATTCCACAACAAATATAAGTGAGACAAAAGCCTAAGATCAGATAACCGAAGGTAACCAAACAACTTGAGTACAAAAGAAAGAAATGACAGAAAAAAAAAATTAGCTCCAATTTGAAACCAAAGCTAGATTCATAACCATTATATATGATTCCTCTATGGTCTTGTTCCGACATTTCTAAATCCTATTTTAAATGCAACGAAACAACCGAATGAAACAGAACAACTTGAGTACAAAAGAAAGAAATGACCAAAAACTTAGCTCCAAATTTAAACCAACACTAGACTCATAACAATTATATATGATTCATCTATGGTCCTGTTCCGGCATATCTAAATCCTATAAAGTCTAGTATGATACAATTTCCAATTCTAACTGCAATCATAGCAAATGAACAATATGAGTGAACACAAATTGAGATAAAATTGATGAACATAACAATAACATATTCATAGGACTCTAATTATTACCTTTTGTAGCGATTATGAACAAGAACAATCAAAGGGCTGATGTCCTTGAACACAGCCTCCTCCCATTCCTTAGAGACTATATCCTTAATAGGGCGAATGTAGTCGTCGTCCTGCCACACTATTTCATCCCTACTATCACACTTCTCATCGTCATCGTCGTCGTCCTTCTTAACATTCTTTATGCTGATCTTGTTAAAGAATTGGCCGAGACTGAAACCCCATCCATCAGCATCTTCATCAGGCCAGTTTGGATCCTCCTCATCCACAACAAGAGGATACTCAGCTAAAAGCTTCTGTATTTTGTTCATTTTCTCCACAGGATCTGTCTCCTCTTCAACTTCAGGAGCTCTACCAATTACTTCTCGAATCTTCCGCCGCCACTCCTTCCTCTCATCTTCATTCATTACAAACGGTTCTTCATCTTCATCTTTTTCATCCGATTCTGATTCCGATTCGGATTCCCCTCCGCTCCCCTCGCCTATGTTTAGCAATTCCTCGATTTTCGAAACGTTCGACCCACTTCCTCTGCTGCCGACGCCCCCCTGCTTCGCATTCTAATTCCACACAAACCAGATAATTTGCGAGTATTACAGAGATAGGAACCATCAAAGTAGGTACGAAGTTATTCATTAATTTAAGAAGATTAAATCAGAGCGAAGGAGTACCATTACAATCGGGGCCATGGATTTCCGTTTGTGGAGGTTTGTACGGCCCATAACAAAGGGGGCAGGCAGAGGGCAGGCGTAGTAGCCCTTGCTCCGCATTGTAGAAACCGTAAAGGGCTCCTTATTGGCGGGATTGAAGGGTAATTTCAAGCCTGAGAAATGCGGCAAGAGCTCCATCATCACCTGGAAGCTCGAGTAACTATGCAGGGGAAGCGAAGGAGATAACTCTCTGTTTCAAAGCGAATTAGGTCAATTTTTTCACTATTGATGATGGTCTGGATAACACTGATTTTTACGAACCGAACCGAACCTTTCATACAGGCGATTCAATATGTATATACTCTCGTCCCTTGTTTATGTGTCCGTTTCTTTTAATGGTGTTTGAGGAATATTGACATTATACTGGATTATGGTAGGAATAAAGTTAAAAAAATTAACTGTGTATTTTTTTTAAAAGGGTTTGGGAAAATTTGACTTTGAGTTTGATTTTTATTTGAATTTTGAGATGGATTTGAATTTTGTTGTTTCTTTTGTGTTTAAAAGTTTGGTCGGAGCTTTTGGAGTTTTAATGGGTATTAATTTGATGAATAATGAATAAAATAATATAAATATGTATTAACTATAATTGATAAAATTAATAGTAGTATAATTTGACTATAAATTTATATTATATACAATATATATTTTTAAATTTTTATTTATTTGTATTATAGAAAATTTTATTCTTTACAAAATGATATATATATTATATATATTTTTTTAACCTATAATTATTATAAATATTAAATAAATTATTATTTATATATTTTAAATTTAAAAAATAAAATAAAATAACAAAAAAGCAGACATAAAGCTGTTGCAGCCTGCAATGTATTGTCCTATTTAGTGGCAACTTCGGTTTGGCACAGTAAATATCCCCAAACCGGGGCAGAAGAAATACGCCATAATATAATATTATTAGTATTATGTGATATAAAATTAATGAGATTTGTATAATATATTGGAAATTGTAAGAATATTTTTAATATTAGAAGAAAATACAATTACTTAAAAAAATAAATATTTTATTATAGACGGACCAAAATAAAAAAATTGATAAATTATTAAGTGAAGAATGAAGTATACAGGAGTATTTTTTGTTTGTTTGTGTGGCTTGTCTTTTATTTTAAACATACTTAAGAGTATAAAACAATTTAATTAAAATTTTAGCCTATTATGCATTATCACACAAAATTCATTTATTTATATCTCTCTTCAATTAACAAATATTTTTATTTATTTTAAAACTCTCCATTGTTTTATAAAATTAATTTATGGTAATAATAAATAAATAAATTTTATTAAAATTTATGCTTTACAAAATAATATTTATATTATATATTTTTTCTTTTTTAATCATTAAATAACTAATTCTAATTATTTAAATAATTAATTTATACCACCTCAATATATTTTATTTTATTATTTTTATATAATTAATAATATTGTGTGTTTGTTTGGAGGTTTGGATTTTGAGTTCAGATATGAATAGTAAAAATTTTGAATTTGAATAATTGTATAATGTGATATAAACAGGTGTTCATGTGATGTTTTAAATGTAAAATTGATTTTTAGTTTAATATAAAAAAAAATAAAAATAGGTGTTTTATTTGATATTTTTTGGGGGAAAAAATGAGATGAATAGTGTATTTAAAATCCAATCACCTAAACAAACACACCATAATAAAATAAATTTAATATATATGATTAAAAAAATTAGAATATATATTAAATATTTTAAAAAATATATCGAAATAAAAAATATATGCAATATGGGTATCATTTTGTAGAGAATAAATTTTTTTATAACATAAGTAAATAAAAAAATATGTTTATTTATCTATAGTTAATGTAAATAAACAATTTAGAGTTTTAAACGTAAATAAAAATATTTATTTTTTTTTAGGAGAAATATAAAAATAAAAAGATTGTGAGTGAGTTGGCACTCAATTGTCTATTCCCAAATTTTTCTATTCTTTCTATTTCAACAAATAAAATTATAAGACAGGGAGGGAGGAAAGAGAAAAATAAAGAAAAAGTAGATATGAATATGATTTAAATTTTTTTCTCTCAAAATTAATTATATTCAAATTATTTTTTATTTTTATTATTATATTATTTAATCATAAAAATACAATCAATTTATGTTTTCAAATATTACAGTCAAACAATATTTAAATATAATTTTATGAATAAAATATTATACAAATTACTATTTAAATTATTTTTATGTAATATTTAAATGTATAAAAAAATAAAAAATTTCAAATTTAATTTTATTCATATTATTATTTTTAAAATTTTTATTATTTTATTTTATAAATTTTGCAAAATTATATTAAATTTAAATAATTTGAATAGTATTTCAAAGGGTTTATCTTCTATATATTTTTTTAATATTTTGAAATAATAAAAAGTAATATATTTATAAAAAATATTTAACCTTAAGTTTTATTTTATTTATTTAATTTTTTTATTTTATAATTTTTTTAAAAATTATATTGTTCTTTAAAAAAAAATACATTATACTAAAATATTAAAAACGGTCAAATTTAAATACAAAAGAATAAATTTTTGAATAGTATGAAATTATAAACAACATTTTAGTATGATATTTAAAAAATATTCTATGATAAATTAATATAATAACGAAGATAAATATTAATTTTAGATATAATTTATATTTTTTATTTTTAAATAAATAAGATTGATAAGGAACATAAATATAATTTAAAAATACATAAATTTTAAATTATATTCATATCTTCTCTCTTCCAATATATATCTCATCCATGTGTCACAATTTTACTTGTTGGAATAGAGAAAATTGGGAGATTTGGAACAGAAGATTTGATTCCAGTGAGCCTTGATGTTATACGTCATGTAGTTAATTAAATTGATTTATATTCCCCGTCCAATTTCTATTGTCCTAAAGTATATTTGTACGGTTTTTTAGGTGATTGTCTTTTTGTTATGAATTGACAAATTTGTCCATAATTGTATGGTAGAGATTAAAAATAATAAATAAATAAAGGGTAAAAATGTAAAATTTGTATTTAAAAAATGAAATAGGATAATAGTTATTGGACGTCCCAAATAGGAAAGTAGGACATTAATTTGTGGACGGAGGAAGTATTTGTTAAATATATTTTAATGTAGTAAATTTTAACGACTTACAACATAGACAAAAATGAAAAAGAATGTCAATTAAAATTAAACAAGGAGACGACAATATTGTATAAGAGAAAATAAATTTATTAGTTAAATTTATTAGTATTTATTTTTTATTTATTAAACTTATGTATAATTTATTTATAGTAAAAGAAATATATTTACCAATAATCTATTACTTTAATTTTAATAAATAATAATTATTTTATTACTATTGGATGTATTATTTTGTATTTTTTTTTTTTTTTTATGAACATGAGTATATAAAAAAATTGAGTTGAAAATATAAAATATAGTAATATTTTGCATTGAATTGTGAACACTTGAAAATGAATGGAGCATATATATTATGTATTGTATTTCCTCTGTCTCACTTAATTTGATTATTATTTTTATTTTCGTTCGTCCCACGTAAATTTTTTTTCTTTTTTTTTAAAAATATAATTATACACTTTAATCATATTTTAAAATTCATAATTTATAATTTTTTTTAATTAAACTATTTATTTATTTTACTTTTAATTTATAATTATTTTTATTAAATCATAATTATTTTTCACTAATACACTTCTTAATTACTTGTTAATTATACAATATCTGAAATTCTGTGCCTAAACTATTTATTAAAATTAATAAAATTTTAAAATAATATCATTTCATTTTTTTTCATCTATTTTATTTTTATATTAAAAATTTTACTCCCTTCTCGTCCGATTTAAGATTCATATTTATTTTTTACGAATTTATTTTTGAATATTAATTATTATATCAAAATAGAGTACAAATTGAGGAAAAAATGAAAATATACTTATATTAATCTTTTATAATAAATGACATTTGTACAAATAAAAGAATTATACAAATATAAAAATATTTTTTAATATTAAGTACAATGACATAAAAGATAATATAACCTTTGGAGGTGAACGAATGTAATATTTTTTTAATTTATATATATATATATATCTAAATAAAATAAAATAATTATCCCAAATATAATATTCGATCCACAGAATTACTTTGCACAATACATGTTACAATATAATTAATCTAATCACATCGTATATTAGCACAATATAGATAAAGAACACATAATTTATTTTAATACAATACAATGCAGGATATGAACCGACAATAAATTACAAATAATTCACACAACACATATTTTATTGATCTTAGCACATATTTATACAACATAATACGTAATTTAGAGCACATGCTAATGATATACACAATATATATTGTACACGAACAATCATATATGGAATATATATTTTCCAAAAGAATATATCAATTTTTATACTTTCGTTTGATCCAAAATATATTTTATTTTGGGACAGACGAAAATATATAAATATCATGTAATTAAGAAATGTGTAAAAAAATTAATTAATTAATTTAATTTTTATTTACTTAACGATTATGGTATGTTATTTATTTAATATTAATCGTTATTTCTATTATATATAATGGTTCTGTTCGTCCAATGCAAATTTTGAATTGTAATTTTTCAAAAGTAAAAGATGTAAAAATAAAATAAAATTATATGAAATGATTTTATTTGGGTTTGTTTGAGTTTATGGAATATTAATTTTTTAAAAATATATTTTATTAAAAATGTATATTTTTTTTTTAATTAAAAATGATAAGATATTCTCAAAACTAAGATTGTGTTTTTAAGTAACTTCAAAATAGCAGAATTTTTGTTGTTATTATTAGAAATTATAAAAATATTTATTAAGAAACACAATGTATTTTTATTAACAAATACAAGCTAAAAAAATATTGTGAATGGTGTAAGATATAAAAGACAGAAAAAAAATAAAATAAAACAATTATGATAATTTCTAAAATAAAATACGATACTTCAGATTATTAATAATACAATATACATGATATATTAATAATAAACATAGATATCCATAAAAACACTTAAAACTATTCGATAATATAATTATATTGAATTTAATTTGTCTTCGGGCCTTTACCAGCATCAATCGGAGGCTTAGGCGGCGAGGTTCGCGCCACCGCCATCATCGTTGTCGCCAGAAGATCAGTTCCGGCCACAGCCGGTGGCGGCGGATCTGCGAGCTG